TGATCAATTACTGGAACAGTAATAATGATTGTTAATAGTGTGAATATTAATAACATTGTAAAACAAGTGTCCTGTACTTCATACTGCCGACAAATTAATGCCGTTTCCCTCGTTACTACTGTGTCACACGCCACTTCACGCACATTTTTTTACTCTTTCTAGACTGTGTTGCCAACCTGTGGTAAGGACGTGTAATTATTTCCAGTTTACATGATGCATGGCCAGTTAAGACTAGAATTGGTCTTTGTTTTTTAAATGTGCCTGAATATACCTGCATAATAGAGGAGGCATATTGACCATAGCCAGAAGCCCAGGGGTTAAATTACCATGATGCTAACATTTGCAGGCCATTAATTTGTCCCAATCAATGTGCCCTCTACAGGAAGAAATCCCTTACGATCTTGAGATCATTATTGGAATGTACCATTGTTTGTATATTCTCGTGCTCTTGATAATCGGGTAGAAATCCCCCAGCCAGCCAGCCAGCCAGCCGGTCTAATAGAATCGAATAGTTTCTACCCCTGGGTAGGCCTACATAGATTTTTTTTACTTTACTGGGTAGGCCTACATAGAAAGTCGTTTACTTTGACACTTCATATAACTTAATAGCAAAAGGTAAATTATATTCAAATTGTAAACACTGGCATGCATAACATTATAATATGGATAATTTGTTTCCCTGTTTACTTTATATCATTGGTTGAAATTTGTAAACAAATTTGGATCCTCTTATAAATTACTGTACTGTATGTATATGTAAGTGCAATTAACTGAGGGCTTTTTTCTTCACTGGATTTGGTCAGTAAGTTTCTGTATATGCTCCTCGTCTAATTCTTCGATATCGTCCAGCACTTCATCTGTGCTGCAACCATCTGTGTGGTTATACCCATCAACATGGCAGGCCCCAGTTGTTAAAAATCTGTTGACTGCAACTGGACCACTAGATGTCAAGTGGTCATCGGTGAGACGTCTGCGCCAGTCTGTTTTGATGAGCTTGACCTGACTGAAGCCACTTTCAGCATCAGCAGAACTGGTTGGAATGGACAGCAGAAGGTCAACTAAATGGAGAAAGGAGCCACACTTTTCTCTGTATGATTCATTTATTTGCTGCCAGGACAGTTTTGAAACAGGTGATATCTTGCTTATTTTGTAAAGGTAGCATTTGAGTGCAGCCCATTCATCCTCCAGCTTGATTGGGTCCACTTCTGCCTCCCTTAGTCTTTTCTCAAGAGACTGAGCCAGCGCTCCCACAGCGATGTCTCCAAAACCTTCATTCCCTGTATATTCTGCAGGCCACGGTTTGAAATACAGAATCCATGAATTTTTCAGAACTGTACTGGCCTTGTCAACAACTTTTTTCTTTAGACTTGTAATCAGAGATGTCAGCATATTATGCCTTGCAGCCATGGAGGCACTACTTCTATCACTCAGCTTCTCTCCTTGGAATGTGGTAGTGTCACCTTCCAAAATCTTCCTCATACTGGGTCCTGGGCTTGTCAAATATTTATTGAGAAGTCAACTGAGGCCTGAATTTCAGTCCTGATAGCAGAAACATTGGTTTGTCTGTGTTGAAACTGCTCTGAAAGGCGCCCAAGGTAACACAAGATATCCAGGAGGCGGTGATTGTACTCGATTATATCAGCACTGGTTAGAAGCATTAGATAGTACAGGTACGCCACCGATTTTCCAGGAACAGATGGTCCGGCCCCTCCTTTAGTCCAGACAAAATGATAATCCTTGCAAGATAGTGATTAATTTGAGTATTGACATCATATACAGTAGTTTGAAGAAGAGATAACATTTTTAGTCCTTTACCATAGTACAATAATATGTTGCTCAAAATTATGGCTTTTTTCACAGGAAAAAGTTTTTAGTATAACTAACCCCAGTGGTCACAGTACTCACTTCTCGCGTCATCAAACAATATCGCTCGTATAAAGAATGCATGTATAACGAGATCCCCCTGTATGATACATGTAAATGTAAAATGTATACTGTATAGTACATGTCTTTTTGGGGGGGAAGAGTGTTAATGTTATTCAAATAGTTGAAGAGGTTTGTACAAATACTAAAAGAAAAAATAGTAAAAAATTTTAACTACCCTTAAGACTGCATTCTGTATGGTTGTAAATTCTAATATTTTATATTGGTGCAAATAGTGTACTGTACAGTGGTCCCTCGGTTAACGAGCACAATCCGTTCCAGCAGGTTGCTCGTTAACCGAAACCATTGTTTCAATGGGTTTTTGGGTAATTGGTTCCAGCTCACCGAAAATTGCCTAAATTCAACAAAAATGGTAGAAAAGTTCACTTACTTTTAGGTGTGTATGTAGAAGGCTCCTGGATGATGATGATGATGATGAGAATTTGAAGTGGGAGGTGGAGGAGGAGAAGGGAGAAGAGAAGGAAGTGGAGGTGGAGGAGAAGCATTTTACTGCTTCTTGGAAGGTGAGTCACCTTCCATGAAAATGTCAGGAACCTCTGGACTGACAGATTCTCCACCATGAACATCCTCTCTCCTTCTTGAAGTGGAAGGCTGAGGGATAGCATCTTGTTCCCTCTGCCTTTTACTGAAGAAAGTGTCAATTGTGGTCTGTGGGGCATCTGTCCTCCTCACCATTAACTTATGTTTAAAGAAGGAGACCACTGAGTCCTCAACATGACACAAAGTTAGTTCATTTCTTTCCACTTCTGGGTGCTTTGAAGCCAGTTCCCTGAACTTCTCCCAGTAGTAAATCACATCTTTCAACTGTTTAGCTGACATATGGTCATCACTTTCAATTTCCTCCTCACCACTGTCAGCCTCTACCTGTAACATCTCATCCAGTTGCTTCAAGTCATCAGGAGTAAGTTCCTCCTCATGAGACATCACAAGCTCTTCCACATCCTCCTCCTCCACTTCAAAGCCCAATGACTGACCAATGGACACAATCTCCTGGTCCAACTCTGCTTCTTCCTCAAATCCCTCAAAATCATGGACTACTGATGGCCACAGTGCTTTCCATGAAGAATTGAGGGATCTAGTGGAGACTTCTTGCCATGATGACACAATCAATTTTACAGCCTCCAGGATGTTGAATTGTGTCTTCCAGAAATGTTTCAGTGTTAGTTCAGGATCATTGGAAGTTGCCTGACGACACCTCCTAAACATTTTCTTCATGTACAACTTCTTGAAGTTGCTGATCACATTCTGGTCCATTGGCTGTATGATTGATGTAGTGTTTGGAGGCAAAAACAACACTTTCACAAAGTCAAATTGATACTCCAAATTGCTGGCAAGGTCAGGGTCATGACCATGAGCATTATCCATGAGGAGAAGAGCCTTTAAAGGAAGTTTATTGGTGGTTAGGTAGCTCTTGCCAGAAGGGCAAAACACCTCAACAAGCCCATTCATTAAAGAGCTGTCTTGTCACCCATGCCTTACGGTTGGACTTCCAATAAACTCCAAGCTTTGTTCTTACCACTTTCTGTTGCTTGAACACCCTGGGGTTTTCAGAGTGGTAGACAAGCATAGGCTTCAGTCGGAAATCCCCTGAAGCATTGGCACCAAGCAATAGAGTTAGACGGTCTTTCATGGGTTTATGCCCAGGTAAAGAGGCTGCATCTCTGGTGATGAGTGTTCTTTTGGGCATCTTTTTCCAAAACAGCCCAGTTTCGTCCACATTGAACACTTGCTGTGGAAGATAATTTTCTTCTTCCATCAGTTTTTTAAATTCATATAAAAACTTTGCTGCCCCTTCCTTATCAGCACTAGCAGATTTACCATGCCTAACAACACTGAAAATGTCACTTCTTTTCTTAAATTTTTCGAACCAGCCTTTGCTGGCCTGAAAATTTTCAAATTCTGTGCCTGAAGAACCAGGTTGATCTGTCTTTAAATGTTCGTAAATCTCCCTGGCGCTTTCACAAATGAATTCAGTAGAAACTGAATCACCTTTCATCTGTTTTTCCTTAATCCAGATGATAAGTAACTTCTCAGTTTCTGCAATTAGGGATCTACTTTTAAACACTCTTGTAGGTTTGTCTCTCACTTTCACTTCTTTAAATTTGTCTTTCTGTGCAAGAATTGTCGACACAGTTGATGTCGACATGCCACATTCTTTGCATAGCGCATTTGTTCTAATGCCTTGTTCATGTTTTTTTATGATTTCCTGCTTGGTGTGAAATCTCTTTTCTTGATCTCTTAGGCCCCATGCTGGATTCAAGCAATGTCAACACGTGCTTTTCAAAGTTAAACCTGTTGTAAATAAAGAATATTTTCTGTAAAATAACACTGCACTGCGCTATATATTGTCAATATGTAAAATATATTTCAAAATGACCAATAATTTGCTTGGAAACACAGAAAAAAAGTGTTTAGTTGAAGAGAGTCTCAAGCAAGATGTTACCTCCAGTGAAAACAGAGAGAGACTAACGCCTGTTTGATGTGTTAAGAGGCTGGATGCCACGCATTAAACTCGTCACTTTACCTTCAATTATGTTCAATAATTGTTAAAATGACTAAAAAAAATTATTTTTAAACTTCTAGATATATACTAAAATAGTAAGGAATTTAAGCCCTAGAACCAATTAATGTATTGGCGGACTAATACTACAGCTGGTTGACCGCCCAGTGCAAGCCAAAACTTGTTGAGGTCGTCTGGTAAGAAACTCGTTAACCGAATTTAAGAATCTTATGGGAGGTAACTCGTTAACCGAGGCGCTCGTTAACCAAGGGACCACTGTACTGGGTTGGGTCATTTGCCTGTGTCAAGGTGGTTCTGCTCCAGTAAGTTTAGTCTGCAATTATAGCCATAGATGGGATGAAATCCTGTCTTAAATTGACTTACTTTAGATAAAAACTAGTAAATTTAAGAAAGAGTATAACAATTTTATTTGATAGTGTAGCTGAAGAAGCTTTCTTATATCTTTAAACATTTTAAGTTTTTAGTTGAGACTTGGATATGCATTGGTGTTAATAAATTTGTATTTAATTATTTTATTTTTTTTATTTTTTTTCAGGGTATGGGACCTGGCAATATGGGACCGCCATTAGGACCTCCACTTGGCCCTCACAGTAGTCAGATGGGGGGCCACATGGGCACTCAAGGAATGGTGCAAGGTCCTTATCAGGGATGGGGCACCCCTCCTCAACAGCAAGGATATCCCCCGCAGGGGTATGGTGCCCCTCAAGGTCCTGGGGGCTATCAAGGCTGGGGTGCAGGGCAACAGCTACAGCAGTGGGGAGCCCCCAACTATGGCTCCCCAGGTGGTCAACAGTATGGCAGTTTTGGTGAGTTGTGCATGATTATTTTCATCCTTCTACTGTATAAGATAGGTTGCTGTCAATCCAAAATTAAAAACGATTTAATGTCAGTTAGCTTGGAGTAACTACTTCTTTCAAATATACTATTGTAAAGTGGGTTTGTTGCATCCGTAATAATTTTGAATTATATTTTTCTTTGTAATAGACACTTACTGATTTATTCCTTGAGATAAGAAATTTAGCATTTTGCTAATCGTTACTTGAATTTATTACAATAACCAATGGATGTTTCATTATAATCATTCATTATATTGCAATCGCTAGTGGATAATTCAATATAATGTGAGAAGACAGTGATATGTCCAGTAGCTAAGTGTAGAGGGGTGTGTTTCAGGGCCCATGGAGGGTGGAACGTGGGGGTGGACGTCCCCCACCTCTCCCTCCACACCTCAGCCACACGAACGTGAGTCGTGCATGGCGGGTGTGTGTGTGTGTATGTGCACATTGGTGTTCTTGTCATGGCATATATGCTGGAGTTTATTGGCTTTTTGAGGAAATAAAAAATCTAACTGTATGTGTTTTAACCTTAGTCTTGCATAGTAGAATAAAGAATTACTTTTGTACTAAACACATGCTCTCCCATATATATATATATATTATATATATATATATATTATATATATATATTATATATATATTTATATTATATATATATATTATATATATATATATATTATATATTATATATATATATTATATATTATATATATATATATTATATATATATATAATATATATATATATTATATATATATATATATATATATATATATATATATATATATATATATATATATATATATATATATATATATATATATATATATATATATATAACCTGCCACTTAGAGCATGGTATAGAAACTGCCTCGAAAAGCCTTGGTTGAAGCTCTCAATACTCGTAGGAGAAGGCACGAGGTGTGTGGAGCTACTTATTAGATATTTTGGGGATAAAAGGTTTACTATCAGTAATTATCATATAGACAACCTACTTCTCCTCTCCATCACTTTATGCCTTCTTGTTTAAATACTCCCAAACATAGAATATTGTTGAAAGCTTGCACCTTTCTTGCAAGATTTTCCTAATTTTCTGCCAATTGTGTAGAATATTGGTGGATATTAAGTTGAGAAAACGTGGGGCTAGTGGAGTAATCTGGGACCTAATTATAGGGGATTGCATTGATTGCATAGTACATTAAACATATGAAGATGGGGTAATATTGAAAAGTTGTCGTAGATTTTGCAGTTCGTTGTAGATAAATGATGTAAAAAAAAATTACATTATTTCACCAAGTGCAATAATGAAAATGCAATGTTGAGTTATATATATATATATATATATATATATATATATATATATATATATATATATATATATATATATATATATATATATATATATATATATATATATATATATATATATATATATATATATATATATATATATATATATATATATATATATATATATATATATATATATATTTATATTGGGATCTTGATAAAATCACACGGGAAATGGAAACAACGGAGCACCTTAGCTTTCGTCTTTATTCAAGACATCTTCAGAGGCAACTGGACTACATGGACAGAGAGAGGCTTAAATATACAGGGTGACCTTAAAAACATGAGGTCAGGTCATAATGATGTCATCCACTAATCCCCACACCAACACACATGTAGAGGAGCTTAAGAGAAGGGGGTGACGTGACTAGTCAGGTCAGGTCAAAAATAAGGGACCCACAAAATAACTATCATACATCTAGATCAAAGGTTTTCAAAGCATTTTTAACCTTGGGCCACTGACAAATAAATTTATGTAACATATTATCAGTTTTGAACTGACCATCACTAAGGTTTATTGATTTTAATTCCTTAATCAAACTAGCTTCAACCAGAAGTCTTTCTGTGACACAAGATGATTTAAATACTTCCAAGCTTTTTTCCCAAGCAATGGGGTGATTATTATTCCTAACATGAGCGAACAAGGCACTGCTTTCAGATGCTGTTCTGATATTATACTTATGTTGTTTGATTCTGAGCTGCAGTGTTTTTCCTGTTTGTCCTACATAATTACAATTACATTTGCTACATGGAATACAATAAACACTTCCATTTACATTCATACTTGGGCTATTCCTTATTAACATATTGGTAATGGTAGAGTCATACTTGAAAACAACATTAATATTTAGAAGCTTGAGGGACCGAACTAAGGGGTCAAATTCATTACGATAGGGCAGAGTCAAAATATTCGTAAATGTAGGAACTTGTCTGGTTTGCGAGGAAGGAAAGGATTTTTTAGCCCTTTTAAAACAACGATCAACAAACACAGAAGGGTACCCGAGTTTCTGTGCAATGGAACGAATGTGTTTCAATTCATCGTCAATAAATTCAGTCACAAATACGCAGACATCTTAAGAACATAGCAGAAAAAACTGACATTTTGGTAGACATAAGGTGATTCGATAAAAAGTGAATGAAACTGTCTACCTGTGTGGACTTTCTATATACCTTAAATTTATAGTTTTGGCCATTTCTCATGATAAGCATATCAAGGAATGGAAGGGATCCATTTATTTCTCTTTCAATTTTGAATGTGATACTTGGGACAATATCATTAAGCTTGTCTAAAAATTCCAATGGGTCACTGTTTCTAGGCCAAAGACAAAGAACATCATCTACATATCTATACCATGGAGGAATAAAGTCACTATATTGGGTAGTAATCTAGACTCAAAAAACTCCATATAAATACAGGCTAGAGGAGCAGAAAGACAATTACCCATGCTCATGCCAAATATTTGCTTGTAGAACTTCCCATTTGCTCTAAACACATTGTCAGTTACGCATAACTCTATCAATTTCAGGAAAGTATCATGTTCAACAGTTAAATCTAACAGCTGTAATTTATCTTTGAGAAATGAAAGTAAGTCACATTATATATATATATATATATATATATATATATATATATATATATATATATATATATATATATATATATATATATATATATATATATATATATATATATATATATATATAATATATATATATATATATATATATATATATATATATATATATATATATATATATATATATATATATATATATATATATATATATATATATTCAACGACCTCACCAGCCAGGATTCGAACCCTCGACCTACTGGGTGGGACTAGGGAACGTTACCGACCAACCCACAAGGACACTAAAAGCAGTCCTAGACTGTTATATTTCACACAAAGCCTGTTCATCGAGCTGATGGCGCCGTGAACCTCATTGGGAACTGCCCGTGCCTCGTATGTGGTGTCAGTAGCATTTTACCGAATCCAGCTGGTATGAAACACGAGGTACCATATATATACTTCATTTTTAGTCCATATAACACGCGGACTTTGAACATATAATCAAACCTCACCAGCCAGAACGAACCCTCGACCTACTGGGTGGGACCTTTAGTGTTGCTGGGTTGGTAGTTCCCTGTCACCCAGTAGGTCGAGGGTTCAAATCCTGGCTGGTGAGTCGTTGATAATATGTTCAAAGTCCGCATATATGGACTAAAAAAATGAAGTATATATATGTATATGTATATATATATATATATATATATATATATATATATATATATATATATATATATATATATATATATAATATATATATATATATATATATATATATATATATATATATATATATATATATATATATGTATGTATGTATGTGTGTAATGTATGTATGTATGTATGTATGTATGTATATATATATATATATATATATATATATATGTATATATATATATATATATATATATATATATATATATATATATATATATATATATATATATATATATATATATATATATATATATATATATATATATATATATATATATATATATATATATATATATATATATATATACATACATATATACATACATACACAGTGGTCCCTCGGTTAACAAACACAATTCGTTCCACAGAGTCGTTCGTTAACCGAATCCATTATTTCAATGGGATATTGGTTAATTGGTTCCAGCTCACAGAAAAGTACATACAAAGTAAAAAGAAAATGCGGTAAAGTACACTTACTTTGAGGTGTGTATGTAGAAGGCTCCGGGTTGATGATGATGGGAATTAGGAGTGGGGGTGGAGGAGAAGGTAGAAAAGGAGGAAGTGGGGATGGAGGAGAAATCACCTTTCAGGGGACCCATGCTTGATGCCATCATTTCATCAATAAAATTATAAGTTCACTAGGTGTAATCAAAATTATTTTCTTTAAATCAACACTGCACTGCGCTATATATTATTAATATGTTAACTGAAGTTCAGAATGACCAATAATTTCAATGAAAAATGCAAACATATTCAAGACGCCAACAAAGTAGTTGCTCTCTCGATTGTAAACAAAGCCAGACTGACGCCTGGTGGCCGAACCGAGCATCTGATGGGTGCACAACTAACTAGTTCCCTGTACTGCATATATTTTCAATATGTTAAATAAATGTTAAAATGGCTAATAATTTTAATAGAAAACATGCATAAATATTATAAAGCACAACTTTATTGATATTTACTCCATTGGAAACGAATATAAACATAGAACAGATTACTGAATTGGCTGAGTACCCCCTCAGCTGATCACCTGATGTTCAAAACAAAACGTGATTTTCATAAGGATTTCACTAATCAAATTTTTGTTCGTTAACCGAATTGAAGATTCTTTTGGAAGATAATTCGTTAACCTAGGGACCACTGTATAAGAATATTTAAGGAAAGGTTTAGTATATAGCAATTTTTTTTGGCATAGAGAGGTAACACTAGAATCTGAGTAGTGGTTCAATATAAAGATAATACTCCTGTATACTTTATATTATTTTCATTTTAAAGTACAGTAATGGTGACTGAGATTTAAAAGGTTTGTTTACATGAGGATTGGAGTCGTGTCAATGCTGTCGGTACCTATTACTGTAGATAGTATGAAGTTACAAGACTTTTGCAACAAATAATAACTACAGTCCCAAGAAAATATGACATGTGCAATACATAAATAGTTTGATATTTATGGAAATAACCTGACCTCATGCAATATTAATTATCATAAACTAAAAAACTATCATATAATAATATCAATGGTATGTTGCTATACCATATGTTTGTCTTACATACTCACAAACTGTAGAGATGGATGAGTTTATTACCAAGCGAGAACTTAGCTAAGCAAATTATACGACTTTTCTGAAACATAAGTGATACTGTGGGTGCATCTTTATCGATGCTGGTATTTAAGTATCCTTATCTTACTGACAAAGTTACCCAGATCCTTTTCCAAAAATTTACCTTCCACCTTTTACTCATTTCTCTCACTCACACTTCCTGTCACCTTTTCATTTTTTGTCATCCTCCCCCTATATCTCCTTCCCAGCCGCCTTCTCCTTTCCTTTTGTTGTGTCTTTCTTCAAAGGCTTCGTTTTTGTACGTGATATCATATATCATATCACAGAATCTAAAATATGTATTATTTTCATTGATGATTGTTCTTTAGATTATTAATATACAATTAATAGGAAATAACCCTATCACTCAGTTCCCTGCCAAACGAGAGTGTGACGTTGCCACATGAGCAAGGAAGGCTTAGTAGGGGGTAACATTACACCTGAAGGTGACTGTACATTACTATACATCTCAAATACAGAATTTTTGGATGGTCCATTTTTTCTATAATTCATAAAGAACAGGTTTATGGGCATAGGGCATCAATTTGGTGAGGGCAAAGACAAAGTTTCAATGAACACCTTGTGCACATATTGGTGATGCACTCCATCCCAGTACACAGTGAAGACATGGAGAAGCACTTTTACCATTTGTACTAGGGTAAACACTTTACAGTACAAAACTTGTCATATCAGTGAAAACGGATGTCGACTACGTGACTTGTGTCTGATTTTCCAGAAATAGTTCAGATAAGCAGGGTTTATGTCTAGACCCCCATGGTATGCTTTCTCTGGAATAGGGTCTGCCCCAATGTGTTGAGGTATTACTCTATGGGGTTTTGAAAGCAAATTGGGGGGTTCTTTGTTGCATACATACGATAGTATATATTGATGTACAATTAAACCACATAAGTGTTGAAATGGCCATGAAACTTCAATGATGAGTCGAAGAAAATGAGCTATGTGATGAAATGCTTGAAAATGTTATGTGCTTTGTTTTCAGAAATGCTTTAATGTTCTGGCTTTCCTCATAGAAAATAACTTCGATTACCATTGTTGCTTAAGAACATTACTGATGAAATAGGTAAAATATTCATGTAAAGTTGTACAACTTTATGTGGTGTTAGTTTCAATTGGTTTTCATTCTAATTGGAAGTCATTTAAAAGTTTTCTTGAAAATATTAGTAAATCATTTTCACTCTAAAATTGTTGAGAAAGTATTCATTTAAGAAAAAATATATCTGCTAAATGTGAGTAATAGTAATATGAACGGTTTTCTATAAAAGATGCGTAGATAAGCCTGTAGTGTCATTTTAGTACAGTACTTCCCCCTTCCCTGTAGAATCATATCTCCCATCATATAATAAGGTTCCACTGAACAATTAATGAGAATTCAGTTTAAGAGCACAGTGTTTTAGAGCATGAAAAGTCAATGAAATAGCAAAATTCTAGAACATACACACAGGGCTTAGTGTGCAGAGCACCCCCTCCCACTCAAGTAAAAGTCCTGACTCCCCTGTCCCCCAAAAATTGTCTAGACCTTCGAGGGTTTACTGTATTGCAATAATTCTCTAGTAAATGCACTGAATAATATAAAGGGAAGTCTTATGAAGTCAAAAGATATTACAACAATGATACTGCACTGGCAAAACAATTACACCCTATTAAAGTCACCATATTACAAGGCAGTTTGTAAAATACCTGTAAATATGTTGTTTTAAGTTGTGTATAGGTGATATTTTGTTAGATTAGGTTCAGAGTGACGTTTGATGGAATTACCTAACTTGTACACATAATGAAACGAGTGTTGTGTGTTTATATGAAATTTTGGTTAAAATGCTGCTTTTTAAATTAGATGAAACATCTGAAATCTGGCTGTTTCATTATGAGCATTGCCTATAATTTTGTAGTGAGGAAAATTTGTGAACAGTATTTTCATAATACAGGGGGAAGGAATTTGAATATGAATCATTTAAATATATATGGTTGATGGATGGCTAGTGTTAAAATTAATTCAGATGTAGATGTGTTTATTGTATAAGTTTTACACACAAGATGATAGTTTTAAAAGTTTATTAAGTGCACGAGAAGGAAGTTGAGTTGGTATTTCATTTTTCAACTATTGCTTAAAATGTTTGAAAGAATTTACCCACTATTTCTCGATAATACCAGCTACTATCACAGAAATCAAAAGGTTTTTTATTTTAAGTTTAGAAATTTTTCTTGGAACTCAACATATTAAGTATATACAGGACATGATAGGGGATTATCATTCTTATTTTTAAGTAATGGTTATTATTATTATTATTATTATTGTTATTATTATTATTATTATTATTATTATTATTATTATTATTATTATTGTTGTTGTTTTTTTGGCTTGTAGTATTTTGTGTCGTCATAATTTGGTATTGGTGGTGCATGGCAAAATTTTGCTGAATTTTGGGTTGGTGGAAGACGAGTAGCACCACACACACACTCACCTTATTTCTGTTACTGTACTGTGGGTCACACCAGTAGGTCGTCTTCTTCTAACCCATGTCATTAATTCACAGACATTTTTATACCCATCCTATAATTTTCCATCCTATTAATAGTACAGTATATTTCTAACAGTACTATTCTGTCATTTTATTTGTCTTAATATGTAAAGATTAGTGTATATTGGCATGTCTGGTTTCTTATATGTTGAATTTTAATCACCAAATAATATTACTTTGGCTTACAATATTGTTAATTTTGTTTATTTTGCTTGTATATTTTTTGCTGTTTTTGTCTTGTGGAGTTAAATTAATTGTAAAGTTGCTTTAATTCTTGTCATTTTAAATTGCACATCAAGTGCAATTACTCTAATTTGTCGACTTATTTTAAATTTTTTTAATTGTTTTGGGATATAAGTAATCAAGAGTGGTGGTGAACTTGCAGGTGATCCTTATGGCCGAAATGCTCCCCTAAGTGCTCTGATGACGGGGGCTCCAGGCGCTCCATCACCAAACTTGGCAGCAGCAGCTGGTCCTCAGCCTGGTGGTAAGGCATCAGCTGACTACAGCTCCTGGAGTCAATTCAATTACAACCAGATGGGTGGAGAGAATTCTGCAGCAGCTGCAGCTGCAGCATTTAATCATGGCCGTGGCTACAACGATGGTGGGGCCCCAGGACCGGCACCCTCCCACCAGGGTGAGTAAGTATACATATGTAGTTTGTTCATTATTGTACATTAGCTGGGATTGATCTACTCTCACTTTTATTTTTGTACATTTTCTTTAAAGTCTGATTAACCTATATTATACCAGTTTTGAAATACTATACAGTAAAATTTAAGCAAGGAGTGAGAGTAGGGGATCCAATAAAAGAAAATATAATAGGCATGAGAACTAGTGGAGTTCTTATGGCCTCTTTAGTGAACTAGTTTTGCCGAAAGCTAATGTCATTTACACCATTTCCCGCAGACTAAGGTGACAGCTCCCAGGTGAGAAGGATTAGCCTCCAGGTGAGGAGTTAGCTAGTCAGGATAGCAGTGGTCAGCTCTGTTTACCATACCAAGTAAGATTAGAAAATTCTGCTCAGTGCCAGGAATGATAAAGTTCTCTTTTGCACTTGACTTGTGAAGACAGTGAGCTATCGACTTGTTAGTTTGAATTTTTCGTATTTGCCTTTTATTAAACATATAAATTTAATATGGCATGAAAAAAACTCTCTCTCTCTCTCTCTCTCTCTCTCTCTCTCTCTCTCTCTCTCTCTCTCTCTCTCTCTCTCTCTCTCTCTCTCTCTCTCTCTCTCTCTCTCTCTCTCTCTCTCTCTCTCTCTCTCTCTCTCTCTCTCTCTCTCTCTCTCTCTCTCTCTCTCTCTCTCTCTCTCTCTCTCTCTCTCTCTCTCTCTCTCTCTCTCTCTCTCTCTCTCTCTCTCTCTCTCTCTCTCTCTCTCTCTCTCTCTCTCTCTCTCTCTCTCTCTCTCTCTCTCTCTCTCTCTCTCTCTCTCTCTCTCTCTCTCTCTCTCTCTCTCTCTCTCTCTCTCTCTCTCTCTCTCTCTCTCTCTCTCTCTCTCTCTCTCTCTCTCTCTCTCTCTCTCTCTCTCTCTCTCTCTCTCTCTCTCTCTCTCTCTCTCTCTCTCTCTCTCTCTCTCTCTCTCTCTCTCTCTCTCTCTCTCTCTCTCTCTCTCTCTCTCTCTCTCTCTCTCTCTCTCTCTCTCTCTCTCTCTCTCTCTCTCTCTCTCTCTCTCTCTCTCTCTCTCTCTCTCTCTCTCTCTCTCTCTCTCTCTCTCTCTCTCTCTCTCTCTCTCTCTCTCTCTCTCTCTCTCTCTCTCTCTCTCTCTCTCTCTCTCTCTCTCTCTCTCTCTCTCTCTCTCTCTCTCTCTCTCTCTCTCTCTCTCTCTCTCTCTCTCTCTCTCTCTCTCTCTCTCTCTCTCTCTCTCTCTCTCTCTCTCTCTCTCTCTCTCTCTCTCTCTCTCTCTCTCTCTCTCTCTCTCTCTCTCTCTCTCTCTCTCTCTCTCTCTCTCTCTCTCTCTCTCTCTCTCTCTCTCTCTCTCTCTCTCTCTCTCTCTCTCTCTCTCTCTCTCTCTCTCTCTCTCTCTCTCTCTCTCTCTCTCTCTCTCTCTCTCTCTCTCTCTCTCTCTCTCTCTCTCTCTCTCTCTCTCTCTCTCTCTCTCTCTCTCTCTCTCTCTCTCTCTCTCTCTCTCTCTCTCTCTCTCTCTCTCTCTCTCTCTCTCTCTCTCTCTCTCTCTCTCTCTCTCTCTCTCTCTCTCTCTCTCTCTCTCTCTCTCTCTCTCTCTCTCTCTCTCTCTCTCTCTCTCTCTCTCTCTCTCTCTCTCTCTCTCTCTCTCTCTCTCTCTCTCTCTCTCCTCTCTCTCTCTCTCTCTCATGTGTGTGAGAGAATGGGTAACCCCTTAAACCAGTGGTTCTCAACCTTTTTTCACTCCATTCCTCCCTTGAGGAATTTTCAACATCCTCGTGGCCTCCTTCATTTTTCTCCCAGAACAGACAAGTGATAAAGACTAAAGAATGGTAAAGAATGACACATAAATAAATAGGACAAGAGTTAGAATGGCAAACACACACACATTCACATACATAACACGCCCATGCACTCACATATAAAGCACACAAACAGTCATACACAAACATGCACACAGGTAAACATTCACACTCAAGCTAGCAAGCTGAAGTGTACTTCCTGTAAGCAAGAACACGCCTCCTTTGACAAGCACTGCCCAACTTGGAAGAATGAGAATAGTGAGTCATACCAATTTAGCACTAAAAATGGTAGGATTATATAAGTAAAGAATGAGTATGAACAACAATGGCACTAATAAATAAGGAAATAATTAATAAAGGAACTGTACAAATATTTCACCCACGTAAAGCAACGACCACATGAATTATGAAACAAAATAAGTAACACCAATTACGGAGTATATTATGCTTGAGTCAAGCTCAAACACAATATATGGTTCAGAGACACTTGCAAAGGGATGACACACGGACACGTACTGAACAAGTCAGTTCAGCAGCTCGGTCCAGCGCCTGTCACACAGACAGGGACTGGATCTGTGAAATCTTAAATACAGTAATCTGTAAAAAAAATAAGCACCTGAGTATGGAAATATTAATATTGTATTGTCGTTTTGATTAAACGAAATGACAAAAAAAAAAAATGAAAATTCTCTTCTGCCAAGTCAAAATAAGTAATACAAGTTTTGTTTAATTCAGATTCCCAACATTATTTGGAAACGTACAATTTATAACAGCTCGCCGTGGCTCCCTTGGGGGCCATGGCCCCCAGGTTGAGAACCACTGCTTAGACCGAAGAGTAATTATGGCATTATCTTAGAATAACAAACTAAGTACATGGGGTTAGTTTATTGCTGGTAATACAAGTTTTATATAATTATTCCAGTTTTGTAGACACATACAGTTAAGGTGATCATTTGTTTTAGATATAATAATACACCCATTTGTTTTAGATGTGTCTTGTAGAATTTGAAAGTTATATTTAACATTTGCACAAGTCATCAAAATTGGCCTGGTGAATGTAGTGGTTCAGGTTTTTAAGTAAAGTTATAACAATTTTGTTAAACCAAAAAGTAATTTAATATATTCCTTAAATCTGCCTGTTTTCATTGTTAGATGTTATTTTTTTGAGTGGGTGCTGCCTAGTGTTGGTGTGTGTGTAGCTGCTGTATTCACAACTCCTTTGTTTCAATATTATGGGTGGGTCTTGAAAGTGTTATTCTCACTGGTATTCTCAGAGCTGGTTACATTTATTGCCCAAATGTTTGACAAGTTAGCCTTTACTTAGAAGGTGAATATGTTCTCACTCCTAAAAACTGTCATTAAATGATTCATGAAACATTGGAGAAAGTCGAGAAGTTTTACTAGTAAATGAAATGAAGCGTACTTTCTGAATTACATAAAATGAAGATATACATGTGATTTAGTTGGCATTCTGAAGCAAGAAATCAGTAGTGGATCAGTTTCTGGGTTGTACATGGATGCAAATTAACTTTTGAAACAAACTTAAGTTTGTAATATCCTATTACCCCTATTTTGTGGGGGGTTAACATAAACACTGTAGCGTAATGGTCTGGAAAACATTTTGTACATCACATGTTAAGGTAGGCACTTATCCCCCCTTCCTTAACTGAAAATTTTCCCTGGCAAAGCTGGCTAAAAGAGCACTTGGAAATCCTGCATATAGTGTCCAGCTTTCCCTCAGGTAAAATTGAGTTGGTGATGGGAAAGGCATCTGGGTGTAAAGTTTAATTGAAGTTTGCTTGATGGTAGTCAGGACACCATGCCATCAGGTAATCATGAAAATTCCTTGCAAACAGGAAATGAACTTAAAGGGTGCCAAAATATAGAGGAGAGGAGAGAAGACAATCCTGGTGGCATCTTCATTGTGGAAAGTGTCTAGAAGATTACCATAGACAACCCAGAAGACAATAACACCAATAATCAGTATTTCTAAAACAAAACTTAACAAGTGTTATCCACAATTTTAAAAGACAGGTTTAGGGCTAAGCTAACACCAATCATTTTTGCCTCAAAAAATCTAAATTTGTCAGTCCTACACATGCCCCAACATCTAACAGCTTGATGATGAAGTAGAATACTTCTTTGAATACCTAATAAACTTGTGTAGAAAAAGAAATGGCCAATAAAGAATTAATAATTACAGTACCTAAAAGTTGGTGCTGTGAGAAAAAGGGGTGTTGATGAACTGAGTTAGAGGTACACAATTGGCTGAATTTCAGAACAGCATGAAAAATAGATGTAATCTTTAAGTAAGAAGACTAACAGGTTTGAATTTAGAACATAATTATTTGAATTGGAAGAAAAGCTGCTATAAAGCAAGTCCACATTGAACAAAAGGGTTAGGTCCCACTAAAACACTTTAGTTAGGTGGATTATCTTCATCTCAACCTTTTTTCCCATATAAATTAATGTAATAAGGGGGGATGTGTTCTTGTACTAAGCTGTGACAAAAATAATTGTAACATCAAAATACTGAAGATAAAAACAAAAACCTAAAGGTACATAAACAGAGTTGTTAATTGTTGTTTGTGGGAATATTAATTCATTCTCTCTAGTAATGATACAATGTTTATTTTGATATTGTAGGAAACTGCATGGTTTACATAATTTGTTTATCAGTGAGCCTGTTGCCATTTTCAAATTAGACTACTTACAAGATATGTATTTCTCCCATATGTACACTTGGCGACAGGAGCGGGTAAGGGGAGTGAATGACCCCTAGTTAAGTGTTGTCTGCAGTTGTAACTCACTCCCTGCCATATTTCACTGGATTTACTGTTATTATTAGTGTTTACTGATAGAATAGTGTTTAATAGTAATTAATCATGGCATTGAAGCTTGGTCAGACTTATCACTGTAACCACCAGGCTAATGGGCCAAGTTGTGAGGTGTTAGCTGGCTCAGTGAGGGAGGGTAGGAGAGTTCAGAGTGTAGGGAGGGGGGGGAGCGTTGCTAGGGAGACGTAGGAGGTACCTCCCAGTTGGTCTTTGTTACTATGATTAAGCAGGGAGTGTATGCAAATGGCAACTGTGTTAAACTTTCACTTGGCTTTTATTTACTGGTTTAGAATACAGTGTTTGTTGTTGTACAATATTATATTGTGAATGACAGTCACAGTAGAATGAGAGAAAGGCAGAGTGTAGGTGAGATGTAGTGTATGTCGTGCTGATTTGATCTAGCTAAAGCAAATCCTCTCTGCATCACTGGAATTATAATTTAGGTGATAATAGAGGAAGTGATCATGGAGCTGGTGGTGGAGGGGAAGATTTTTGGTAATTGGTGAGGAGATGTGTCAGTCATGTTGTTTGGTAACACTGGCTGCAGCACTGCCAGACACAATTGAAAAGCTGATGTCTACCCACAAAATTGAGTGTAAGAATAAATGAACAACATCATATTTCTTCTACATTATGTTACATAAATTTTAAATTATGGAGTGA